ACAGTTGTATCTTCTACGGTTAATCTTATACGCCAAGCTGCGGGGAAAACGTACTACCGCTGTACTCTTCGTATGCATCAAAATTAGCGATGCTACTCGTCTGAACAGATACGTGACATACTTAGTGTGAAGATTGCATGAAAAAACAGAAGAACATCGTCGGGAAAATCTGTCGCCACCGCAAAAGATACCGAGAGGTTCGCCTTCACGATCATACTTGCGTACTGATGACACGAGCTAACACGAGCTAACTCACATGCTCCACCAGCATCGATCCTATGAGCAGAACCTTCCTCCGGGACCAGAACTAACAAACGGATGTCCTATATAACAGCAACCTGTAACTGCCAACACGAGCGTGCACAACACACTGGTGGGGCTGATACACAACGTCCATCTGCCACGAACACGTCGACTGGTGCGCCACAGGAGGCGTCAGGAAATAGCTTCTGCACTCGCATTAACTCAATAAGCGGTGGTCAGAAGCCATAGCAAGCACAAGCAGAGACGGGAGAGAATGATTTTATACATATTCAAGACTTAGTCGATGAGTCGTATGTGCATAAAAAAAGATGAGTCAATAAAAGGCGAACAAGCACCAGTCGGCTGAGAAGCAGAAACAAATTCGGAGTGAAGTGCAGTGGTGTCTGACGTGAACATGTGGATGTCATTTGGTCGTACGGCAACAAGAATAATTGCAGAAAGTCATGTATGTTACTTTTCATGACAACAGCCATGATACGAGCACCCTCATTAACACGGAACGAATCGTTCAGTCATCATTCAGGCATCCGCAGATACCACAAGGCACACTCATTCGTTACACCACCAGCTAAGGAGATATGTATTTATTTGGCGGACAAAGCCGTCCGGACTCCGCGCTTGGGTAAAACATACTCAGAAAAGGTTCAATACGGCACAGCCAATACTGAGGGTTGTGCGTTCGAGCCTATAAACTTACCGAATATCATTGATACAATAATACTGGGTAAGGATATTATGGGAGAACTGAGATTGAAGGTCTTACCGGATTAAGCACCATAATTCCCGGAGATTAATCGTAATTTGGAATGGCTTCATACCTGTTGGAGCAAGATGATATACGACACCGTTTATTCTACAACATTAGATTTATTGGCGACGTACCATCGCTTACCGGTACATTTAGACTCTCAGCACATGTTCTCGTCTACATGGGACAGTCAGCAATATTCGTTTACTTCGGACAAAACTGGGACCAAATGCTTCTGATCACGAATAAATTATGTCGTACGCGCTTAGGCAATGACACTATGAAGAAGGGATTTAATCCTTGTAAATGAGTATTACCGCTCGTTACCCATGGGATCATATACAGATGGATCTCATTCCTATGGCGGTCACATCCACTATAGGAAACAAGTTTATTCTACATGTATTTTAGATGTGGCGTCGGGGTATTCTAATTTTTGAGCAATACCTGCAAAGGATGTAAAGACCGTGGCGACAGAATTAGTATCGGTGTTTGGTGAGCATGCTTTTCCTCGTAAGATTTAGAGTGACTAGGGTACCAAATTGGTGAATAATACCGTGAATCTATTGCGCGGGCACTCGGAAATATACAGAAGATATCTCAGCCACACCGCCCTTAGACCTTCGATGTTGCAGAGCGACGGCACAAGGAAATTCACAAATGTGTGCGCGCATTATGTGTTGGCAGCCTGGAATTGTGGGATGAGCGTCTACCGTTCTCTATACTTGACCAGAACCTCAGAAAATCACGGCGTCACAGGTTTGCACTATTCAGTGTTTATTTCGGTCGCCGCCATGTCCCATTTGCAAACTTGACTGATGACTTTCCTGGTCATCTTCCTACAGCGGATGATGCATGGCTAACGCGGTTGGATGAACTGAAAAAGATTATCCTGCCAAAACTTCATTAGAAGACAATCAAGTGTACTGATGCCATGGCGGAGGCAGGCGGAGGCTACGGATCAGATGCGCAAGTTTGATTTGGTTGATTTTAAGACACAAATAGACGTCGTCTTTGTTTTTATGTTCGTATGAAGCAAATAGCAATAAACGTCTGAGCTTACTCAGGGTTGTCAAGTTGACATGTTTACTTGATGTCATTTATTTATAGGTGAATATATTTGTATTGGGGTCGTGGAGGATTATTTCCCTCCCCCCCGCCCCCGCTCCAGAAATTAATTCTCTATAGTGGTGACTAAATAAAGGTAGAAATACTAAATATGAGAAGCCACGGATTTAGCGTCACAGAATGGGAGGCAGGATTTTTCTTCTTCCAGAACGTAATTTTAATAGTAGAAATCATTCCGGTTGTTTAATAGTCTCTTGCCCAAGGCGATTTTAAAAAACAATACAGATATACATACCATGACTTTAGCGATAGAAGTGAAAATTTAAAATATGACTGGTCGGACTAATATCCGAAGGACGTTAGTATATATTCCTCATTGAGACACATGCGTCATGCCTGCTTGTTTTTCATTCACAACTGTAAAGGTGCTCGGGTTCTAGTCTCGAATACCTGGTTTATTTACAGGCTTTAAGTTGGTCGCTAATTCACTGAAGTGAAGTGGGTTGTGACTGCCTTTTGTAAGCCGTGAGCGAGTTTATGTGTAACGATGTTTCGGTGGTTGGTCTAGTTAGGGTGGCATTCCGTCGGTTGAGTTATGACGGCTTCCAGGGTCCGCTGAACCCTGTCACAAAATACTAGCAGTTCGGTATCACCAGGCATTACACAATATATTCATAAATAATTGCAGGTAAATACTACACAATATATTCACCAAAAATTGCTGATAGAAAATTCGGCAGTTTTAGAAGCACTGATTGACAAGACCGTCTCAATCTTATCACGACTGTGCAATCTATGGCCATGCAGCCCTTTCCAAGATTAAAAGGCCTATAACTTTAAAATCGCGACTTAATATTGTGAACACGTTAGCCTTTGTATTACTCAAAAGTATAGTCCAGAATCTCGTTTAATTTCAATCGCTCTATTACTAATAAATACTTTCACTTCAAACCCAAACACCGGACTAGGTGCATTCCAGTGGTGCAGATCACCCTCTTCCCAAGCTGCATAAGTGCATAACTCTTTTGAACGCTCACCACAGCTCACGTTCGAGCACACCCATATTTGAGGACCTGTGCTCGTTTTTGTCGCTCTGCCTGAGTCTATAGTAGCACATATGCACGCACAAAGAGTATATATAGATATCGGCGTTCATACGCCCATATCCAGTTTACAGTTCAGTCACCAAGGACAAGTCGTACACGTCTATGGGAACCTCTCTGCTGTCCACAACTCGCGCACAAACCTCCACTGCCACCCAAGACACAAGCAAGCTCTGCACCTTGTACTCTTCCGACCGCATGCCATCGCTATAGTCCTCCTCCAACATAACCCCCTTCCTACCTCCGGCTACTGTCTGCTTGCCCGTTCGGCGATCCATACGGTGTCTGCCTATGTTGAGCATACGCCCACTTCGGGCCATGCGCACTACAATCTGCACACTCTCAGCCCCAGAGGAAAGAGTAACAGCAACGTAGCTACACGCTATAGGTTGTACGAGGTCGATGGTGATGTTGTGGCACGTCTGGTCCATAAACGGGATGAAGTATGTCTTGCGCTGGCCGTCTACTAAGTTTCTAATGTTATACTCCGCGCGATCCTGGAAGGATGTTCGTGCCAAGTGTGCGTCCAGCCCCACACTGGGATCATACGTAGGTGGATGTATCTTTGAGTACCGTGAAGCATCCGTGCGAACAATCCCTTGGTAGTCCTTATGGTGGATCGTACACCCGGTAAACAAGCTTGGTTCGCGCAACAGCGCGGTAGGCGCGTGTGCTTGAGTGTCGATTAGGTCAAGAGCGCTGCGGCTGTGCAGGTGTTTGTGCGTGAGTGAGTGTGTGCGCAGCTGCTCTTCACCGCTGATTGTGTGGTACCAACTGGGAGTGCTAAAGTCGTACGGCAGGAACAGATGTCGCACGCTCGCGTAGTGGGACTCTGTCAGCACGGCATACAGCTTATCAACGCTGTATTTGATCTTCACCTGGTTCCACTTGCTGCCCCTATCCTGCAACTGGTCGTATACCTCATCGATGTTGTCGCCAGAGGCGCTTGCCAGCTTGCTAATCTTGCCCTCCAGCACATCCTGCGGCACGTTGGCCCATACACTAAAGTAGAAGTCCGCCATCGTCCGGTCCGTCGAACTAATTCCCGAGGCCAGCAACTGCAGTACAAACCGTTGCACTATCTCGCGGGACACGCACGACCCCATGTTCACACCCGAGAACTGGGCGTGTAGTCCAACACCCTCCGAGATATCGTTGAACTTCCATGTGTTAGCCGCACGCACACCTTCAGCGGTGGTCAAGCTGTGCATGCGGTGAGGTTCCTGGTTGGCCAGATTGAACAGAGGCTCAGAGTCTTCTACGACATACCCCCCGTCTTGGAAGTAGCACAGGGCGGAGGTGGAGGCTAAGCAGGCCGCATACCGACCCAGAGACAGCACGCTCATGCCCCGTTCTACGTTGTACACGCGTATGCACGGGACAAACGGCCCCTTTTCCATGTTGTTGGGGTGCTTGCCCTGGCTGCCCTTGACCAGGTTGATATATTCCGTGTATACACTCTGCGCCGTTATGGGCACGTCGGGGTTGTTGTTCCAGATGACAAACTCGCGTACATAGGCACTGTCCATAAAGGTCTGCAGAATAGTCCGTATATCCCTTGCTTCTTGATTGGACATTAATAGCACCACGGCCACATTTCGTTGCATCGGTATATGCTTTGCGCTCGCACAAGAAAGCGAGCGCTGTATATTCTGGGGCTTGTACGCCTGCTTCAGCACAGCTCCGATGGGTGTTCGTACCGTATCGAACGGCACAGTCACGTTGGGTCTGATACGTATCCTATCCGTCAAGCACTGTAGCGTAGCCTCGTGTTCCAAGTTGTACTGCGTGCGAGTTTGCGTGTCGAGTTTGAAGCCAAAGCCTGAGCTCATGGCCAGGTCGCAGTATGTAGTGCCAGCCGCCCATTCCTGGTAGTTGACCTGGTTCATGCGCACTGAGAACATTAGTTCCTCAGCCACTAAGGTCACGCTATCGGAGAACTGCGGAACTAGTACACCCACCAACTGGTCGCCCGTGCAGTCAGCACAGGATGAGTCAAAGTAGTTGTCGAACTCGTAGAGTATACGCTCCATGAGTGTGTGCCGGCTGTCCCAGTCCAGTAGCACACGGGCGGAGGCGGTGAGGTGGGCGTTATTCGGGAAGTGGTGCACGCCACCTATGGTCTTTAGCCCAGGCAGATAGTGGATGTCAAAGCAGCCTACATGTGGGTATATGTATGTGGTTATAAGTCAGTAGGAGCGAGAGTGAGAGTGACGGGCTGCCTAATTAAGCCCACACTTGAATGGCGACAGCTAGGTAAAATCGTATGCGTCGGTGTGGGTATTCGTGTATATATGAGGGGGCGGAGTACAGACAAACATTCATTGCATATCGGGAGTGTGAGCAGCTGCGTGACAATACGACCAGACAGCATGCAGAGCTGACCAAGTGTGATCAGACACCTATATATATATATATATATATATGTATTATAAACATTTTTACAAGCATATACACTTACGTATATACGTATATATCTATACATATACATATGGTTTTGAGGGGCACCTAGTCAACACAAATAATGAAATGATTGGTCTTGTTGCATCTGGAAAAAATCCATGTATGCATGCAATAATGTATTCATGTATTAAAACATAAATACATAGATGCATATATATATTAATACATATATCCATCAATAGATGTATCAATATATATATATTCATAAATATGTAATAAACAATATATATATATATATACACACACACATATATATATACATATATATAAATATATATTATGCATATACACAACATTATGTACATACACACACATATAGATTTATATGACTATATATATAGACTATATATATATATATATATATACGTTTGTACAAATGTGATGTATGTATTCATTTTGTATATATGTATACATATTATTCATATTCAAATAAATATATATATCCATTCATATAAAATAACTATATATATGTGCACACACACACACACACACATATATATATACATATACACACACATACACACACACACACATATATATACACATATACATATTTCTATAAATATAATTAGAAGTATAAATACATATATATTTAAATACATATACCAATAGATAAATAAAAGTATATGTATTATATATATATATATGTATACGTGTGTGTGCTTATTTATATTTTAATATATATATACATATTCATAAATACGTACGTACATAACTAAATACATAGACATAGATATACATATCTATGTATACAAATACATAGACATAGATATACATATCTATGTATACAAATACATATACATATACATATATATATGTATACATTTCTATTATATATACATTTCTATATATATATATACACACTATATAATATATATATATATATATATATATATATATATATATATGTATACATTTCTATTATATGTATATATATACGTGTACACACATACACACACAAACACACACACACACACACACAAACACACACATATATATATATTGTTATATATATGTAGATTAAAATATAGCGTATGCCATTTGAAATAATGTAGTACGTGTAATACGCGCCTGGAATCAATCAAACGTACCTGGGGAGTCCTCTACACATCTCTCCGCTCCCACCACATTCCTGGACGTGCTGATAGATCTGGAAGTAGGTAGCATCAAGTAGTCTAGACTGGTATAGCTGCCACCGTATTTATACAGCAATACAGCTCTTAAAAACGAGACTTCGTGCATAGCGTAGTTGCTTGATCGCTTGCGAGTCCTCACGTCAAAGTACATCTCTGCATACTTTGACCCTCTCATATTCTCCGTCAAAGTAGGCAGGTCATACCGTTCTATACGCACGAAGAAACCAGCCTCTACGAACAGGTCAAAGAAATCCAAAGGCAGCTCATTCGCGTATATAAACACCTGCGCACATGGATCGTATCTAAATAGACTCTCTAGCGCGATTGTTTTGGTCTCTTGCCACTCCTCTGCACCAACAGGCCATACGACAAAAAACTTTCTACACGGGGGGACATTTGTGCTGTGTTCAAACTCATCTGAGCCATAGTAAGCGTTGCCATAGTTTCCAGCAGGTTCTATGGACAGCCTCGGCCTTCGCCTGTGATTAATGTATAGTGTGTCAGATTCAACGTCTATGACTATGGGTTTAGGGCTATATATATTAGGCCATAAGCTTAGAAGGATCAATACTAAACACGCGAGCACTACGTGCCTCCGCCTGCGTAAAAACCGCATATTGTTTTCTTGTATACTTATGCATATGCATATATATATGTGTATATATATATGTATATATTCCTATAGACATAAATATACATTAGCTGTTATGTATGTGTCAAGTTTTAAGCGGTGTGCAGCTATCACTGCATAGCAGTCGCGCTATGTACTACACCACAAGCAGTATAGCAGCCTACGAAGAAAGGTGAGAACTGCGCTAGCAGCCTGTTCAAGCTGGAATTCTGCGTACCTGTAGACCAGAGTTGTGTGCGCAAGTATATAAAAGACTTGTATTTATACCACTATCTCTTTAACTTTAATTTTGTTAAAGCACTGCCAGTCTGGGGCTGTCCCCAGTCATTCCAGTATGCAACCGTGAACAACTGAACACCTTTTTTCCCGATGTCCAGTTGACCCCATTTAGTGATCGTACAGAACAGATATTACAAAATATGAGGGGTCGGAATTTTTGATTTCTGAAGGAAATTGAGATTTCGGTTGAAACACTGAAAATTATAACCAATACAGTATTATTCCAGATACCAATTCTGGATATATCATGTATTTAATTGGATCAAACTATATTAAGATGTGTTTCTATTGGACAAATCTTATCCTGTACACTAACTAGGCTCAAAATTGACATGGGTCAATCGCGGCTCAGTGGCTGGGCGAGCACCAATTCAAAGTGAGAATGGCCGGCGGCGTTCAAAAAGGCAATTCTTACTGACGCAAATGCAGAGGATAATTGACTCCATTTGACATATCTCACATGTGCTGGTCCTGGCCTTGTTGGGGCCTGAGTGGGGGACTGGGCCACTTTTGGGGGCCTGTCGGGCTTTCAGGGCTGTGGAGTGGGGGCTGTAAATCTGAAATCTGAAATCTGACACTGAATGACTGAAAGCCTTCTTCTTGTTGTGAGGCAGTGAGGGCTGATGACTGATAAGGCTGAAAGGCGAAAGTAGTGAATTCCATTTTGCTTGAAACCAGTTGGAAAATAAAAACATAAATAAATAATAAATAGAGAGGAAGAGGTGCCATAGATTCTGATTTTGATTTTTTTTTTAAAACAAAAAAATATTGTTGTCAATAGATCTATAAAAACTTACGACTGCATTTGTTATAACTGACTTTGAAAATCGCCTGTATTACGACTGCCTACTACGCCCGCCTTCCTTAGGCCTGACACCTACGTACAAACATTTATTCATAGAAGAGCGGCTTGCAGTTATTCTAGTCTGCTCGTGCCATATCTGTGTCTGCTAGGCCTCGAAATGTTTGAACAAGATTAGAGGGTTACAGTCGCAGCACCTGTATATGAACATGATGCCTTCCTCAGCTCATGCAATATACCAACACTTCATCTAGATTTGAATTTAAGCACAAGGTACAACCTTACAAGTATATTTTAATTCATAAGTGTGAGCAGGAATGTGAACAAAAAGTACAACTAGAAATGTACAAATGAGTACATAAGTATGAGTACGAGCAACTCACCCAAATCAGGTGACTCAATGATAATTATCGCACGAACAAGTAGTGAAAATACTGCAAGCATACAAGTATATACGTGTACAAAAGTGTGAACACGAACAGCAAATTTGCCACATGTATCTATCTCATAGACTTATCTTTACACGAGCGGATAGTCTGGTCTACTTAAAAACCTGTTGGTAAGAACACATATTCATACCATTCTTATTAATTCGTGTGTTTGAGGATCGTTGAATCTAGGTTGAGGGGTTGGAATCTGAAACGTCAAGTATAGACTGTAGTTATAACGCGCACTGCTGCGCTTAGCGCGTAATGAAACTTACCATGGATAGAAGTATGAGACTTCTCACTAGTACGACATACGCATGTGAAGAAAGGGAATATGCATTCTAATTGCAAGCACAGCATGCCTACGGCCTCAATACAAACTCTCAATCTGTGTGTGCATGTGTGATGTATGTGAAGTAAGAGGTTTTATAAGTACATATATTCATCATCATTCGTAAAATAGAAGTCCAAGACCCTACAAAAATACGTATTGTCCACAAGATTCTAGGGTTTTGTATCCATTATTTCATTGTGATGTAAATAAATACTTTGCAATCCGTTTTACGCACTGCTACTAGTTGTATTTACGCTAGCTACGTGCAGCAACCTACCGGCAGGCGGCAAGCGTGCTACTAAGTGTATCACACGTTAGAGAAGCAAGCACGACAACCAGCCAAAACAGAACACACCAAAAACAATACATGCATACATACATACATACGTACATACATACTTCAATAAATACATACATACATATGTACCTTGAACCTATAGAACCCCATTCGCACGAAATACATCAATAATAGAATCAACGAGCACTAACCATGTCTGGACCCAAGTTCAAAGTGGATGAGGGTGTCCTGTGCTATCACGGTCCGCACCTGTATGCTGCCAAGGTGTGTCTTATTGTGCTTGTATGCTCATCTATATATGTACATACGCTCACACATACACATACAATTATATATGTGTATATGTACACACAGGCCAGGAATGTATGTGCATATACTCCGTCATGTATGTATGTACATACATACACACAGTCGTGTATAGGTATGTGCACAGAGACGGTCATGTATATGTATGCATACGCTTTGAAGTTACACACACACTGCGATGTATATATATATACATTTATTCATGCATGTTCTACGTATGCTGAACTGTGAGATCTCATGCATGATGGTCATATGCTCGTGTACAATTGCGAACACTAACACGATCTTCCTCTTAGTATTTACTCATACCAAATAAAGCAATGAATTCCTCACGTTTGGGCAAGAGTGTCCAGGCATATGACGAGAGTATGACTTTATTTAGTACATTACCTAGGGTTGTCTACAAGTTCAACAGCCATCCATATGCTTGCTAACAATGCTTTATATCAATTTGTTGCGCTGTTTAGACTGTTATGGATGTGCACAGATATTCATAAAATAGCACTATATGTATGTGTGTACATGCAGTCGTCAAGTGGAACCATATATATTTGTGCATGCGACGCTCAGTAGGACTATGTGGTCAAACGGATATAGAAGTTAAGCAGGACTAGCTGTCTGTTTGCCAACAGACGACATGTAAGGCTATATGTATATGTGTATATGTACAAACATACGTCAATTCGGAATATATGTACAATAAGTAGGGCTGCATACATATAGGTCGCAAACATGCGTCAATCCGGAATACATGTACATTAAGTAGTTCCACATACACATGAGTCGTGCCTGGTGCCGTCTCCTTGTTCGTATTTGGGCATGTGTTATCAGATTGTTCGCCGTGTGCTTGACCTGAATTCTTGTACCATCAATAGGATGTCCCTATACGAGGCAAGTTCGTGAATGTTAGTGAATGTTTGTGAATGTTACGTGAGAAGTATAATTTATAATTCACGAAACATTGAGCCTTCCCAACCACGTGGTCGACCCTTGGACTTGTGTGATAACCTACTATTAAAAGTCTTTAACTCAGCATCGCGTCCGTTTACGCGTTAGTACGTATATATGTACGCCTACACCATACTATGTGCAACCGTCAGGGCAATGATACAACGACTTGCCATGCTCACCCACCCACTTCTCTTCCTTCTCGTTGATACTCTATATCGGTGTGTACACCTCTTTACGTACCAGTGTCTGGATGTGCAGGAGCAGGATGGCGAATGGATGTACAAAGTACACTACATCGGCTGGAATAAGACGTATGCTGATACCTGTGTGGTTGTTACACTAGTGCACATGTATATGTATATATAGGCACGTATTGTACAAGTATTACCATGCATATGAATATGAATACATGGACACACATGCATGCTACACACATACTATTCTAGATGCTCGTCCGAAGTATCACACAGTTTGCATTGGGTGTACGCAATTGCATCATGCGTGGTATGGTATCAGGTGGTACAGTGTGAGGTTCTGCAATGCTTCACTCGTCTACAGCGCAAATATGAGGCTAAAAGCCTACTATTTGCAGCTTTCGCGAGACTTGGTGTTTGCGTGTTGTGTGTTGTGTGTTGTGTGTTGTGTGTTGTGTGTTGTGTGTTGTGTGTTGTGTGTTGTGTGTTGTGTGTTGTGT